CTCCCAGTACAAACCAGTGACCGCCAATCCCCTCCCAGTGCCCTCCCAGTATGAACCAGTGCCCCCCAATCCCCTCCCAGTCCCTCCCAGTGCCCTCCCAGTACAAACCAGTGACCCCTAACCCTTCCAGTGCCCCCCAATCCACTCCCAATATAAACCAGTAACCCCCAAACTCAGTCCCAGTCCCTCCCAGTGCCCCCCGAACCAGACTTTTTTCTTCCATATAATTAACATATATTTATCATACAATCAGTGTCTCATTTACATCTCATTAGCATACAATTAACATCTCATTAGTGGGGTGGGCGTGGTCAGAGGTGGGCGGGGACCCCGGCCAGCACGAGGGTCTCCCGGTGGCGTAGGAGGAGCTCAAGGACACCAGGATGAGACCACCTCGGCCGCGTCCCGCTGGGAGCCCAGACTGGGAACACTGGGAGTCACTGGGGGCACTGGGAGGGACTGGGAGGGGATTGGGGGGCACTGGGAGGGACTGGGACAGACTGGGAGGGGATTGGGGCACTGGGAGGGACTGGGAGGGGACTGGGAGGGACTGGGGTACACCAGGAACGAAACCACCTCGCCACGTCCCGCGGGGAGCCCAGACTGGGAACGCACTGGGAGTCACTGGGGGCACTGGGAGGGATTGGGGGCACTGGGAGGGACTGGGGAGGACTGGGAAGGGACTGGGAGGGGATTGGGGGTACTGGGAGGGATTGGGGGCACTGGGAGGGACTGGGAAGGGACTGGGGGCACTGGGAGGGACTGGGAAGGGATTGGGGGCACTGGGAGGACTGGGGAGATTGGGGGGCACTGGGAGGGACTGGGAGGGGACTGGGAGGAGATTGGGGGCACTGGGAGGACTGGTTGAACTGGGAGAGCACTGGGAGGGACTGGGAGGGATTGGGGGCACTGGGAGGGGATTGGGAGGGACTGGGAGGGAACTGGGAGGGGACTGGGAGGACTGGGAGGCACTGGGATAGACTGGACTATACTGGGAAGGGATTGGGGGGCACTGGGAGGGACTGGGAGCGACTGGGACCAGTTTGTTCCCTTACTGGGAGCACTGGGAGGAGTCACTGGGAGGGACTGGGAGGGCTCTGTGCTGGCCCATTGTGGCCTGTACTGGTTTATACTGGTCCCTACTGGTCTACAGCGCTCCCTACTGGTTTATACTGGTCTGTAGTGGCTTATAGTGGTTTATACTGGTTCACACTGGTTTATACTGGTCTGTACTGGTTTATACTGGTCTGTAGTGGCTCCATAGTGGTTTATACTGGTCCACACTGGTTTATACTGGTTTGTACTGGTTTATACTGGTCTGTACTGGTTTAAACTGGTTTGGTTTATACTGGTTCATATTGGTCTATACTGGCTTATACTGGTTTATACTGGTTCCTACTGGTCATGACAGTGCTCCATACTGGTTTATACTGGTTCATACTGGTTTATACTGGTCTGTACTGGTTTATACTGGTCTGTAGTGGCTCAGCTGGTTTATACTGGTTCAGCACTGGTTTATACTGGTCTGTACTGGTTTATACTGGTCTGTAGTGGCTCATAGTGGTTTATACTGGTTCACACTGGTTTATACTGGTCTGTACTGGTTTATACTGGTCTGTAGTGGCTCATAGTGGTTTATACTGGTTCACACTGGTTTATACTGGTTTGTACTGGTTTATACTGGTCTGTACTGGTTTAAACTGGTTTGGTTTATACTGCTTCATATTGGTCTATACTGGTTTATACTGGTTCCTACTGGTCTACAGTGCTCCCTGCTGGTTTATACTGGTCTGTAGTGGTTCATACTGGTTCATACTGGTCTATACTGGTCTATACTGGTCCACACTGGTCCCACTCACCGTTGGATCCCGAGGGTCTCCATCGTCTTTTTCCGGACGGCCTCGTCCTCCCAGAGCTGGGGGAGGGGGAGGGGGAGGGGAAAGGGGCGTGGCCTCAGCAGGACACGCCCACCCAGCAGGGCCACGCCCCCAACCCCAAACCAGTAACGACCAGTAACTCCCAGTGACCCCCAGTGACACCTAGAGCCCAAACCAGTAACAACCAGTAACTCCCAGTATAACCCAGAGCCCAAAGCAGTAACAACCAGTAACTCCCAGTGACCCCCAGACCCCAAACCAGTAACAACCAGTAACTCCCAGTGACCCCCAGAGACCAAACCAGTAACAACCAGTAACTCCCAGTGACCCCCAGAGACCAAACCAGTAACAACCAGTAACTCCCAGTGACCCCCAGAGACCAAACCAGTAACAACCAGTAACTCCCAGTCCCTCCCAGTTACCCCAAATCCCCCTTAAACTCCCTTTAACTCCCTCCCAGTGCCTCCCAATCCCCTCCCAGTGCCCCCCAATCCCCTCCCAGTCCCTCCCAGTTTATCCCAATCCCCTCCCAGTGCCCCCCAATCCCTCCCAGTCCCTCCCAGTTCCTCCCAATCCCCTCCCAGTGCCCCCAATCCTCCCAGTGCCCCCCAGTTACTCCCAAATCCCTTTAACCCCTTTAACTCCTCCCAGTCCCTCCCAGTGCCTCCCAATCCCTCCCAGTGCCCCCAATCCCTCCCAGTGCCTCCCAGTGCCCTCCCAGTCCCTCCCAGTCCCTCCCAGTCCCTCCCAGTCCCCTCCCAGTGCCTCCCAGTCCCTCCCAGTGCCCCCCAATCCCCTCCCAGTCCCCTCCCAGTCCCTCCCAGTATAACCCAGTCCCCCCAGTCACCGCGGCGCTGAATCGTGTCTGGATGATTCCGGGGGCGACGCCGTTGATTCGGATCCCCCGGGGCAGCAGCTCCGGCCCCAGGGCCTGCACCAGCCCCAGCAGGGCCGCCTTGCTCACGCTGTAGGGGCCCAATCCCTGCCCGGGACACGCCCACCTCATTTGCATAGCCCTGGACACGCCCACAGAGCGGCCACGCCCCCCCTTTGCCCATTAACGTTAATTAAAGTCGCTCGTTAATCAGGCTGGGATTGACTTTGGGTGGTGGTTTGAACTACCAGAGCCAGCAGGGGGCGCCCTCTGAATGCTGTGGACACGCCCACCTCATTTGCATAGCCCTGGACACGCCCACAAAGCGGCCATGCCCACTTATTGCCCATTAACGTTAATTAAAATGAGTCATTAATGAGACATTAGTTGAGTTTTGGGGGGTGGTTTGAGCACCCAGGGCCAGCAGGGGGCGCCTTCTGATAATTTAAGCCACGCCCACCTCATTTGCATAATCCTGGTCACGCCCACAAAGCGGTCACGCCCACTCATTGTCAATTAATGTTGATTAAAGTCGCTCATTAATGAGACTTTAGTTGAGTTTTCGGGGGTGATTTGAGAGCCCAGGGCCAGCAGGGGGCGCCCTCTGAGGCTCTAAACCACGCCCACCTCATTTGCATAGCCCTGACCACACCCACAAAGCGGCCACACCTTCTTATTATCCATTAATATTAATTAAAGTCACTTGTTAATGAACATTTAGTTGACTTTTAGGGGTGGTTTGAGCGCCCAGGGCCAGCAGGGGGCGCCCTCTGAGGATCCAAACCACGCCCACCTCATTTGCATAGCCCTGACCACGCCCACAAAGCGGCCACGCCCACTTATTGCCCATTAATGTTAATTAAAGTTACTCATTAATGGGACTTTGGTTGAGTTTAGGGGGTGGTTTGAGCACCCAGGGCCAGCAGGAGGAGCCCTCTGAGGCTCTAAACCACGCCCACCTCATTTGCATATGTGGGGACACACCCACAGAGCGACCACACCCACTTATTATCCATTAATGTTAATTAAAGTCGCTCATTAATGAGACTTTAGTTGAGTTTTGGGGGGTGATTTGAGAGCCCAGAGCCAGCAGGGGGCGCCCTCTGAGGATCCAAACCACGCCCACCTCATTTGCATAAACACAGACACGCCCACAAAGCAGCCATGCCCCCCCCCCGGTCCATTAACGTTAATTAAAGTTGCTAATTAATGGGACTTTAGTTGAGTTCGGGGGGTGGTTTGAACACCCAGGGCCAGCAGGGGGCGCCCTCTGAGGCTCTAAACCACGCCCACCTCATTTGCATAGCCCTGACCACGCCCACAAAGCGGCCACACCCCCCCCTTGACCATTAATGTTAATTAAAGTCGCTCATTAATGGGACTTTAGTTGAGTTTTGGGGGGTGGTTTGAGTGCCCAGGGCCAGCAGGGGGCGCCCTCTGATGATCTAAACCACGCCCACCTCATTTGCATAACCCTGGCCACGCCCACAAAGCCTCATTGTCAATTAATGTTAATTAAAGTCGCTCATTAATGGGACTTGAGTTGAGTTTTGGGGGTGGTTTGAGCGCCCAGGGCCAGCAGGGGGCGCCCTCTGAGGATCTAAACCACGCCCACCTCATTTGCATAGCCCTGACCACGCCCACAAAGCGGCCACACCCCCCCATTGACCATTAACGTTAATTAAAGTCGCTCATTAATGGGACTTTAGTTGAGTTTTGGGGGGTGATTTGAACACCCAGGGCCAGCAGGGGGCGCCCTCTGAGGATCCAAACCACGCCCACCTCATTTGCATAAACTCAGGCACGCCCACAAAGCGACCATGCCCACTTATTGCCCATTAATGTTAATTAAAGTCACTCATTAATGGGACTTTAGTTGAGTTTGGGGGGTGGTTTGAGCACCCAGGGCCAGCAGGGGGCGCCCTCTGAGGCTCTAAACCACGCCCACCTCATTTGCATAGACATGGCCACGCCCATAAAGAGGCCCCACCCACTTCTTATTTAAAAATCTTAATTAAAGTCGCTCGTTAATGAGACTTGAGTTGAGTTTTGGGGGGTGGTTTGAGCGCCCAGGGCCAGCAGGGGGCGCCCTCTGAGGATCCAAACCACGCCCACCTCATTTGCATAAATTCAGACACGCCCACAAAGCTGCCACGCCCTCCCTTTGTCCTTTAACGTTAATTAAAGTCGCTCATTAATGGGACTTTAGTTGAGTTTTACGGGGTGGTTTGAGCGCCCAGGGCCAGCAGGGGGCGCCCTCTGAGGATCTAAGCCACGCCCACCTCATTTGCATAGCCCTGACCACGCCCACAAAGCGGCCACACCCCCCCCTTGACCATTAATGTTAATTAAAGTTGCTCATTAATGGGACTTTGGTTGAGTTTTGGGGGGTGGTTTGAGTGCCCAGGGCCAGCAGGGGGCGCCCTCTGATGATCTAAACCACGCCCACCTCATTTGCATAGCCCTGGCCACGCCCACAAAGCCCCATTGTTAATTAATGTTAATTAAAGTCGCTCATTAAGGAACCTTTGGGAGTGAAATTGAAAAATTTTGGGGGGAAATTGAGATTTTTTGGGGGCAAAAGAGAATTTTGGGGATAAAATGGAGAATTTTGGGGGTGAAATTAAAGAATTTTGAGGTAAAATGGAGAATTTTGGGAACAAAGTAAAGAATTTTAGGGGTAAAATAAAGAATTTTGGGGGTAAAATGGAAAATTTTAGGAGTAAAATGGAAAATTTTGGGGTGAAATGGAGGATTTTGGGTCAAAATGGAGAATTTTGGGGGGAAATGGAGAATTTTGGGGGTAAAATGTAGAATTTTGGGGTAAAATTGAAGAATTTGGGGTTAAATGGAGAATTTTGGGGTCAAATGGAGAATTTTGGGGGCAAAATTAAAGAATTTTGGGGTGAAATGTAGAATTCCAGGAGTAAAATTGAGAATTTTGGGGTCAAATTTAAAAACTTTGGGGGTGAAATGGAGAATTTTGGGGGTAAACTGGAGAATTTTGGGGGTAAAAATTAAAAGAATTTTGGGGTGAAATGAAGAATTTTGTGGGTAAAATGTAGACTTTTGGGGTCAAATGGAGAATTTTTGGGGTTAAATTAAAGAATTTTGGGGTGAAATTGAGATTTTTGGGGGCAAATGGAGAATTTTGGGGGTAAATGGAGAATTTCAGGTTAAAATGGAAAATTTTGGGGCAAAATGGAGAATTTTGTGGGTAAAATGGAAAATTTGGGGGCAAATAAAAAAATTTTAGGGTAAAATTGAAAAATTTTGGCATCAAATTGAAGGATTTTGGGGGTGAAATTAAAAAATTTTGAGGTGAAATTGAAAATTTTGTGACATAATTAAGATTTTTGGGGTGAAACTGAGAATTTTGAGGATAAAAAAAAAGAATTTTGGGGGCCAAAAATTTCCAATTTTGGGCTCAAATCGACGTATTTTGCCACAACCCCCCAAAAAAACCCCAGGGTGGTTTTTGAGGCCAAAAATTGGAATTTTGGGACGATTTTTGAAAGGGAAAAATTCGGAATTTTGGGACCAAGCTCCCCCCTCCCTCCTTTGTGTTGTGGCCCCGCCCCCTTTTGTCCAAGCCCCGCCCCCCTCACCGGCATTGGGCGGTAGCCGGCGATCGATGACATCACCACGATGGCCCCGCCCCTAAATGGGAAGGGGGTGGAGCTTAATCCTGACCACACCCCCTTCAAGCCACGCCCACCCCTTTAAGCCCCACCCCCTTCCTCTTAAAGCCACGCCCACTTTAAACCCCACCCTTTAAAGCCATCCAAGCCCCTCCCACTCGGCCACGCCCCTTTAAGCCACGCCCCCATATTTATTAAGCCCCTCCCACCTCAAGCCATGCCCCTTAAAGCCACACCCCCTTTTTATAAAGCCACGCCCCTTTAAGCCCCTCCCACAAATCAACCCCCACGAGCCCCCTCCCACTTAGGCCACGCCCATTTTTGACCACACCCACTCAAGCCCCTCCCATCCCAAACCACGCCCCTTTAAGCCCCTCCCCATTTAAGCTCCTCCCTCTTCAGACCACGCCCCTTTAAGCCCCTCCCCCTCCAGCCACGCCCCTTTTAAGCCCCGCCCAGTTCCTCCCAGGTTTTGTTTTTGATTAATTAGTAAATTAATTAATGAGTTAATTAAGGAGTTAATGAATTAATTACCCCCTTTTCTCCATGTGGGGCACCACGAGCTTCACCAGCATCGCGGCGGCCGTCACGTTCACCTGGAAAATCTGGGAAATTCGGGGGGGTTTTGGGTGAAAAAAGAACCATTTTGGGCAAAAAAAGGTAAGAAAAATGGTAGAAATGGTGGGGAAATCGCGAAAAAACGCCCCCAAAATCGCCAAAAAGCAGGAAAAAAATAAAAAAAATCCTCCCAAAAAATCCCCCCAAAATTGTCAGAAAAGCCCCCAAAAAACCCTTAAAAAATGCCAAAAATCTTTGCAAAAAGTTGCTGAAAAAATATCCTAAAATTCCTCAAAACTTCACCAATAAATTGTCAAAAACTCTCCCAAAAAATCCTTAAAAAATGACCAAAAGTCCCCAAAAAACCCCTTAAAAAACCCCTCCAAAAATCCATGAAAAAAGCCCCATAATCGCCAAAAAATCGTCAAAAAATCTCCCCCAAAAAACTGTTAAAAAAAAATCCAAAAATCCTTCAAAAAATTCACAAAAAAAGCCCCAAAAAACCCTTTAAAAACCCGCCAAAAATCCTCAAAAAAATCTCGAAAGAAGCCCCAAAAATCGCCAAAAAATCACCCAAAAATCGTAAAAAAATCCCCCAAAAAACTCTTTAAAAAATCCAAAAATCGTCCAAAAAAATTGCCAAAAAAGCCCCAAAAATCTACAAAAAATCCCCAAAAATTCCCCCCCAAAAAACCCTTAAAAACCCTTCAAAAATCCTCAAAAAAATCCACGAAAAAAGCCCCCAAAATCGCCAAAAAATCCCAAAAATCGTCAAAAAATCCCCCCAAAAAACCCTTTAAAAAATCCAAAAAACCTCCAAAAATTCACAAAAAAAGCCCCAAAAATCACCAAAAAATCACCCAAAAATTCCCAGAAAAACCCCTTAAAAAACCTTCCAAAAATCCACCAAAAAACCCCCAAAAAAACCCTTAAAAACCCCGCCAAAAATCCCCCCAAAACTCGCAAAAAAAGCCCCAAAAATCGCCAAAAAAGCCCCAAAAATTCCCCCCCAAAAGAACCCTTAAAAAACCCTCCAAAAATCCACGAAAAAAGCCCCAAAAATCGCCAAAAAATCCCCCCAAAATCTGTTAAAAAATCCCCAAAACCCCTAAAAACCCCTCAAAAATCCTCAAAAAATCCACAAAAAAACCCCCCAAACCCCTCCCCAAAACCCCATTAAAAAACCACCAAAAATCCTCAAAAAAATCCCCAAAAAAGTCCCAAAAACCGCCAAAAAACCCCTCAAAAATCGTCAAAAAATCCCAAAAAAACCCCTTAAAAAAATCCAAAAATCCTCCCAAAAATCACAATAAAAGCCCGAAAACTCACCAAAAAATCACCCAAAAATTGCCAAAAAAACCCCTTTAAAAAACCTTCCAAAAATCCACAAAAAAGACCCCAAAAAAATCCTTAAAAAAAATCCAAAAATCCTCAAAAAATCTCAAAAAAACCCCCAGAAATAGCCAAAAAGTCCCCAAAAAATTCGTAAAAAAAATCCCCCAAAAAAACCCGTAAAAATCCCTCAAATATCCCCAAAAATTCCCCAAAAAACCCCCTTAAAAAACCCTCCAAAAATCCACGAAAAAAGTCCCAAAAATCGTCAAAAAATCCCGCAAAAAATCGTAAAAAAATTCCCCCAAAAATCGTCAAAAAATCTCCTAAAAAAACCCTTTAAAAACCTCTCAAAAATCCTCAAAAAATCCCCAAAAAAAGCCCCAAAAATTGCCAAAAAATCCCCCCAAAATCGTCAAAAAAATCCCCTAAAAAAACCCCTAAAAAACCCCTCAAAAATCCTCCAAAAATCCACAAAAAAAGCCCCAAAAACTGCTAAAAAATCCCCAAAAAATCCCCAAAAAATCCCCAAAAAAACCCTTAAAAAAAAATCCAAAAATCCTCCCAAAAAGTCCCAATAAAACCCCGAAAAAACCCCTTCAAAAACCCTCCAAAAATCGTCAAAAAATCCCCTAAAAAAAACCTTTAAAAAAATGTCAAAAATCCTCAAAAAAAACCACAAAAAAAACCCCCAAAAAAACCTTTAAAAAAAATTAAAAAATCCTCAAAAAACCCTCAAAAAAACCCCCCAAAAATCATCAAAAAATCACCCCAAAATTCCCCAAAAAAACCCTTAAAAATCCTCAAAAAATCCACAAAAAATCCCCCAAAAATCGCCAAAAAATCGCCAAAAAATCGTCAAAAAATCGTCAAAAAATCTCCAAAAAAATCCCTTAAAAAAAATCCAAAAATCCTCCCAAAAAAATCACAATAAAACCCCCAAAAAACCCCTAAAAAACCCCTCAAAAATCCTCCAAAAATCCACAAAAAATCCCCAAAAATCGTCAAAAAATCCCCAAAAATCACCAAAAATTCCCCAAAAAATCCCTTAAAAAACCCCCCAAAAATCCTCCCAAAAAATCCCAATAAAACCCCCAAAAACCGCCAAAAAATCCCCCCAAAATCCATTAAAAAATCCCCAAAAAACCCTTAAAAAACCGCCAAAAATCCTCAAAAAAATCCACTAAAAAAGCCCCAAAAACCGCTAAAAAATCCCCAAAAAAATCCCCAAAAATTCCCAAAAAAGCCTTAAAAACCCTCCAAAAATTCACAAAAAAAGCCCCAAAAATCCACAAAAAATCCCCCAAAAAATCCTTAAAAATCACCAAAAAACCCCCCAAAAATCATCAAAAAATCCTCAAATAATCCCTTAAAAAAAAATCCAAAAATTCTCCAAAAATCCACAAAAAAAGCCCTAAAAAAAACCCTTTAAAAACCCCTCAAAAATCCTCAAAAAAATCCACAAAAAAACCCCAAAAAAATCCCCAAAAAATCCCCAAAAAATCCCAAAAAAATCCTTTAAAAAAAAATCCAAAAATCCTCCCAAAAAACTCAAAAAAACCCCCCAAAAAACCCCTTAAAAAACCCTCCAAAAATCCACTTAAAAATCCTCAAAAATCACCAAAAAATCACTCAAAAATCGTAAAAAAATCCCCAAAAAATCGTCAAAAAATCCCCCCCCCAAAACCTTTAAAAAAATTCTCAAAAATCCTCAAAAAATCCACAAAAAAGCCCCAAAAATCGCCAAAAAAATCCCCCCAAACCTTTAAAAAGCCTCAAAATCCTCAAAAATCCCCAAAGTCCCAAAACCGCCAAAAACCCCTCAAAATCGTCAAAAATCCCAAAAACCCTTAAAAATCCTCAAAATCCTCAAAAATCCCCAAAGTCCCAAAACCGCCTAAAAACCCCCAAAAATCGGTCAAAAATCCCAAAAATCCTTTAAAAAAAAATCCAAAAATCCTCCCAAAAAATCCCAATAAAACCCCCAAAACCCCCCCAAATCTCCCCAAACCTTGTCCCAGGTGGTCTCGTCGGCGTAAGGCGGGGCCCAGGTGGGGGTTGACGGCGGCGTTGGACACCAGGATGTCGATGCCCCCGAACGTCTCCAGCGCCTTTGGGGGGGAATTTGGGGGGGCAGGGCAGAAATTTGGGAGGGCTGAGACCACGCCCACCCCGGGCACGCCCCAAATCAGCCCCCAAAATACACCTGGATGGTCAAAATTCACCCCGAAATGCACCTGGGGCACCCCAAATCAACCCCAAAACCAACCTGAAATCACCCCAAAAACACCCCAAAATCACCCCCAAAAACACCCCCTAAAATCACCCCAAAACCACCTCCAAAACCACCCTGAAATCACCCCAAAATACCCCCCAAAATACACCTGGATGGCAAAAATTAACCCCGAAACGCACCTGGGGCACCCCAAATCGACCCCAAAATACCCACAAAATCAACCCCAAAATGCCCCTAAAATACCCCCAAAAACGCCCCCAAAATCGCCCCAAAACGCCCCAAAATCACCCCAAATTCACCCCAAAATCACCCCCCAAAATCACTCTGAAGTCACCCCAAAATCACTCCCAAATCACCCCAAAACCTCTCCAAAATCCCCTCTAAAATACTCAAACACAGCCCCAAAACACCATGAAATCACCCCAAAATCACCCCCCAAAAATCACCTCAAATTCACCCCCAAAATGCCCCTAAAATACCCCCAAAATCACCCCAAAATCACTCTGAAATTATCCCAAATCCACCCCCCAAAACACCCCGAAAATACCCCCAAAATCACCCCAAAATCACCCTGAAAACGCCCCAAAACACCCCCCAAAATCACCCCAAATTCACCCCCAAAACGCCCCTAAAATACCCCCAGAAATCACCCCAAAATGCCCCTAAAATACCCCCAAAAATCACCCCAAATTCACTCCCAAAACGCCCCTAAAATATCCCCAAAATCACTCCAAAAACGCCCCCAAAATCGCCCCCAAAACACCCCCCAAAATCACCCCAAATCACCCCCCAAAATCACCCCAAAACGCCCTAAAATCCCCCCAAACCCTTTTACCCCCCCAAACCTCCTAACATCGACCTCAACCCCCAACCTCCCCGAACCCCCAAAAACCCCAAAAGCCCCAAAAACCCCAAAATCCCCCAAAAACCCCTCCACTCACGGCCTGCAGGAGGCGCTGTCGGTCGGGGGCGTGGCCCACGTGGCACGTGACGCCGCTCACCTGCAGGCCCCGCCCCTCAGGTGATTGACAGCTCGGGCCACGTGGGGGCGTGGCGAGAGCCCAGCAGGACCCGGGCCCCGCCCACCCCCAGGGCCTCCGAAATGGCCAAACCGATCCTAAAATTGGGGATAAAAGGGATAAAAAATTAATTTTAGGGGGTAAAGGGGGAGTTGGGGGTGTTTGGGAAAGTTTGGGGAGTTTTGGGGGATTTGGGGCGGATTTGGGGGAGTTTGGGGGCGGAGCTCAGCAGGACCTGGGCCCCGCCCACCCCCAAAGCTTCTGGAAATGGCCAAACCGATCCTAAAAATTGGGGGAAAAAGGATAAAAATAAATTTAGGAGAGTTTGGGGGATTTGGGGGATTTGGGAAAGTTTGGGGGATTTGGGAAGTTTTGGGGGGATTTGGGGGATTTGAGGGGTTTGGGGGCGGAGCTCAGCAGGACCTGGGCCCTGCCCACCCCCAAAGCTTCTGGAAATGGCCAAACCGATCCTAAAAATTGGGATAAAAAATAAATTTGGGGGTTTGGGGAAAGTTTGGGGGATTTGGGAAAGTTTGGGGGATTTGGGGGATTTGGGGGATTTGGGGGTTTGGGGGGCGGAGCTCAGCAGGACCTGGGCCCCGCCCACCCCCAAAGCTTCTGGAAATGGCCAAACCGATCCTAAAAATTGGGATAAAAAGGATAAAAATAAATTTAGGGGGTAAAGGGGAGTTTGGGAAAGTTTGGGAAAGTTTGGGAAAGTTTTGGGGATTTGGGGGGAGTTTGGGGGATTTGAGGGGGCGAGAGCTCAGCAGGACCTGGGCCCTGCCCACCCCCAAAGCTTCGGAAATGGCCAAACTGATCCTAAAATTGGGGAAAAAAGGGATAAAAATAAATTTAGGAGAGTTTGGGAAAGTTTGGGGGATTTGGGAAAGTTTGGGGGAGTTTTGGGGGATTTGGGGGATTTGGGGGGTTTGGGGGCGGAGCTCAGCAGGACCTGGGCCCTGCCCACCCCCAAAGCTTCGGAAATGGCCAGAACTGATCCTAAAAATTGGGATAAAAAGGATAAAAAATAAATTTTGGGGGTTGGGGGAGATTTGGGGGTTTGGAGGATTTGGGAAAGTTTAGGATTTGGGGGAGTTTGGGGGT